AAAAAGAATGTTTTAAAGTGTGGTTGTGATCATTTACCTCATGTAGACACCAGGGGGAACCAGAGTCAAGCCAAACCTCGAAACAGCAGCCTGGAACTCAGGAGAGACTCCAGGATCCACATATTTCTGATAGCCTAGGAGGGACGTTCAGAGACAGTTTAGAAATCACACTGAACTACTATAGCTAGATTTTCACTTTACATATATGTATAGGAGTATGCATGACTTAATAAACCATTTTCAGAATATGCATTGGCCCCATATATTACAGGCTGTTCTAAGCAATTTCACTGAATGTATTTTAATTGCAAATGAATCAGATTTATTATAATACAAACTTTAAATATGCCACTTTCATGTTCTGGGCCTAAAGCAAGAATAATCCAGCAAAAACAGCTCCCTTAGCAGAAATGACATCCCAGGCTTGTGTTAACCTGTACTGACGTAGCTGAAGCCCACTGAGCCCATTAAACAGAGCCTCAAGTGGCAACTCACTAAACCACAGGTAACTGGAGTATGCTATCTCACCACACACAGTCACACGTGCACACATTCATGCAACCTCTCACCTGGGTATGGAGGCACCGAGACTCCAAGGTACGCAGGCAGCCACTCATAGAACGCAATATTCTAATACAAGAAGGAAATAAAGCGCATTATATATGAAGAGATAAAACCATACAAACACCAGTATCAGGTACTGACTCATGCCTACAGACTCAGGTGTGAGTAGCCAGTAGCTAAAACAAAGGCATCTTGAGCCCTGTTGCAGAAAGTGTGTGAGGCAACCATGCAGGTTGAGATACTTTGATAAATTGGCACCTGCTCTGTGTGGTTTCTAAATAACAGAGGACTTTTCTCTCTACCTGGAATGTGGCAATAACTCTCTTCCTGGCATTCTGGAAAAGCTCCTCATCTGACCACAAAGGGTGGTCTTCGTGCAGCTGAGAGGCAAGGTAATTATGGTAGCGAAACCAAATAATCCCCTCAGCTACTGTAAAGATGTTCTCATTGGCCCAGGCATTCCCAAACTCTGAGGAGACAAAACAAAATCAGAAACCACAATAAAAGATTTACTGCTGTTTATTTTGCTACTAGTTTGTTGCAACAGCTGTATGAAGGAAAAACGTATTACATTTTTTGACATTAGGTTTTTTCACATAAATTAAACCCTGAAATACTGGATATCCTACAACGCTAAAGCAAACCTGCTAATAAGGTCCAAATCATGTGAATACAAAAGATCTCTTAAGACAGAGACAGTTTGCTTCTGCTTCTGTTAGGCGGTGTTTTTCCTACGTAGACATTGCTCAAAGGCTTTGGTTCATTGAGACATACTTTAACCGCAAAGCATATTTGGCATAAATGAAGAACAACACCTTAAAAGAGCAACAACAACACAGTCATTGTTTGGAGGATTTAGCGAGGTCAGGAAAACATAAAAGACCAGGTGGACAACACATACCAGCATGTAATGAAGATTGAATCTGTTTTGTTGACTGAATGAGGTCATCCTAAACTAAGATTTGATACATTCTGAGGATTCTGGAGGCCATTTAGCAGTATGAATACTAAATAGTTGAGGTGCCAAATTACATACTGGCACTCTGTCCACTACGTCAGCATAACTCCAGGCTAAATAAACATAGGCTGAGAAGTTTTGTTACACTTTTAATTCATTTCCTTGTGACCTTAACCTCTGTTTCAGGTGTGTTGGTAGCTAGAATAGACCGAAACACTCTCCATCTCCACCTAACCCAGATAAAAGCCTCCAGAGATGTTGACCAAAATCACTGCAGCCGTTAACAATATGATCATATTTACCAAGACATGTTATTTGTTGTTGCCTATAATCATAATTTAATGTGTCCAATAGCATTGTGTTTCATTTTACCATAGAGTCCCTCTGGGCCAGTCTTTCCATTGCAAGGGTTTGGTGCACTCCACATGAAATAGTTGCTGTCACTTTGCTTTGGCATGTTCTTATCAGAACCCGGCGACAGCAGGCCTCCTTGGAAACTCCTGAGCGCATCACTCCAAGAGCTGGAAGAGCCATAGATCGAGCTACCGTCTATCCAAGCTGTCACATGGTTCACCTGTAAGGATTAAATAAATTGGTGAAAAATGTCTAATAGACTCCAGATAGAAAGTGGTTCAGAATTGAAGTTCTAGGACCAGCAAAAGAGAGCAATATCTAGAAATACTATTCATAAAGATATAGTATATTATGACACTATGTTAAATTATGTAAAACTGTGCCAAAATTCTTAACTTTTCTGAGCTAGTTATTATATTATCTGTTATGCCCAATCATACTTGTTATTTGTATATTTGTTGTTTACTCCAAATTGACTGTGGATATTCTTGTGGATAGTCTTACCTGTGTCCTGGGATTGTTTGGGCTCTTTCCAGTTGTGTGGTCCCACTGCGCACGCTGGAAAGGGAGCAGGACTCTGTGTGTTAAAGAGTTGGACCCAAAGACAGGGTCATTTGGGGAGACTGGGATGTGCATGAACTCAGGAGGACAACCAGGTCTTCGGGACTCCGCAATCTCCAACACTACGTGGTAACCTAATGGCCAATGGCATGACTGTTAGCTATGTCATCAGGAAAATACCTAATTTTTTTATTAATAAAATCTTATGGCCAAACAAATTGCAGTCAGTGAGCTTCAACAGTGACAATGTTTCATCGCCATCCTGATTAAAACAAAGCTGCAGAGTGTCTGGTAGGGAAAGTCACATGCTGCTGTTATTTAGTACTGTCCACAAAAGCCTTGTTGGCTGACGGGGACTTTCTAGACCAGGGGTGCCAAAACTTTTTCTTAGGGCGACCAAAGTGAGATGCCCGTGGTGGGTCGAGAGCCAAAAAAAACAAAACAACATACAAATAAAGAAAGTAGGTAGCTTTCAAATAGAGTTTTTAAAAATGTATTTTATAACATCACACTGCATATTTTTTAAATACAATTTTAATAGGAAAATAAGGACTTAAGAGATATATAATATAAAAATATGTTTACTCTCTCATTGGCTGAGGGATTTAGACATCTTTAATAAAGATTGTGAATCTGATTTCTGGTGGCCCAAATTAAACATCTTTACTTTGGGTAGCCCCGCTTTAGAGGAAACATTATCATAAAAAAATGGACTAAAAAGCAGGAATGCATGATGGTATTAGAAGCAACTCCATATCTTCAAATATTTGCTTAAAACAACAAACAGATGTTTACATTTGACCGATATTTCAAACTGATATTCGATTACCTGAACATTATACTCAATTTCATTACATTTTATTCACTACATTTGTAATCCTTTAAAAATAAATGTTACATTTCTCTGTAAAGGTAAATAAAGGGGTAAACAGTCCCAGTTACATTTTATGTGTAAATAAACCACATTATTGACCACTTTTAATTTTTTTTTCTTTTTTCATGATATCTGATGTTGGGAGTGGGTTTTACACATATAAAGATAAGTGCTACATCATGGTTAATAGCACCTTTATTAGAGAAATAATTGGTTTTTCTGTTATACATCAGCAATTATTCTTATTGAAAACTCGCTATATCCAAAACTGACACATAGCGTTTTGGAATGAAACTCTTCAGATGTTTATGTAAGAATCTGTATGGACATCGGCAGTTACACAGAAAATATCGGACATCGGCCCACAGCTCTCATACCAGTGCATCCCCATTAAAAAGGTTCACTTCTCTCCTCAGGTCACCACAGCGGCGGTACTTATCAGTGTCAGGGGCACTGCGGAGGTCATACATTAGCACAGGTAAAGGGCACACTCACCGAAAAACACGGAGAGCACGGTCTGGTTGCGGAGAGAGAGGAGAGCCGAGTCTCCGCTCATGGCGACGTTGCTGATCAGGCGGGCGTTGGGCAGCTCGAGCAGAGGCTGGTAAGAGCCATCCGAGTAGCGCGCGGGCAGAAAGCGCATGAGCGGCGCACCTGCACAGGCACACACACACACACACACACACACACACACACACACACATGTTCATCCACTGTGCTCACACACAGCGCTGGAGTAGAGTATATTAGAGCCTGCAGAGTGGAGTGGTTTACCTGCAGCGCCGCGGCGGTGATAGGCCAAGTTATTGTACCAGCCATCGTACCTCTGAACTTCCCATGTGATGCTGGAGTCTGTGAGGAAACACAAAACACGGAGGACCCACAGTTTCACACAGAGACGGCTTAATGTTCACTAAACTACTGAAACAACAATCAGTTCACTTCACTTACACGCCGTGTGGAAGGTGAGAGAGAGCGCCACGAGAGTCCAGCACGGACTCCTGCGTAAATCCATCCTGCTGAGAGAGAGAGAGAGACAGAGAGAGAGAGGGGGGCAGTCAAGCGTCGCTCTTCAGAAGTAGGTCCTGTAAAGAGCTCTTGAGCTGAGAAGACGCGAGATAAAAGTCTCAGAAAAGCACGAGGGACAAAAACCTGACGTGTGCGACTCGATGTACTTTGATATGCTTAAAAGAAGAGAGAAAGGGAAGCGTTTAAACTCAGAATTAGAGTCACATTTCACCGGCTTCTCTGTTTACAGGATCTGAGGGGAAGAAAAGCGCGCGAAACGTTAATTTTTTTTTCCCTGAGGTGAGCAACAGTTAGTAAAAAAAAAAAGGACCCGAAAAAGGAGTTGAATTTCAGCGGCTGGAGTAAGAAGCGAGGAGAAAGAGGGTAATATAGGTTAGTAGAATTCAGCTCACCCACCTGTAATGGATCCGCTGTAACCGCCGGAGTAAAACTGAGGCGAATGGTCAATGAGAAGTAGAACAAAAGAGTGGGAGTCAGCAGAGAGTCTGAACCTGCCTCCAGCTCCAACACAGCCCTGAGTGTGTCAGAGCAGAGTCACAGAAGGGATGGTCATCAGCCTGCTCACACCTCTGTGTTTTCAAAAACCAATCAATGCAAATCAAGCCAAATATTAGGAAGTGCGAGGATATAAAAGATGCGCGTCGTCGGACAAAGACAATTCCCTTGGGACTCCGACCATCCTGGACATTTTCCTTCCACTTCTCGCTCTTCCTCGCACTCACAGGTAGGCTGAGCCACGCGCTTCACCATTCTTCTAGGTTTAAGCATTTCACTGTGTTTTAAATAAGCAGCTCTTCCGTTTGATAATTACACATAATTATCATCACAATAGACCAATTAACAACAAACAGGTGCTTCTAGAAATGTTGCAGCAGGTTGTGTAAACGCTTACATGCTCTAAATAACTACCTGCATGTGCGCCTCTGGCAGAGTGGTTTAGTGATTATCACCTCAGCCATCCTCAGTTATGCTGTGCAGCTGAAGCAGGACTTGGGCTCTTATCTGATCATCTGCAGGTAACTGAGCTGCTCGCCGACACTGTCCTCACTGTATCGCCGTCTGCTTTCAGCTTTAGCTCTCGCATTTGGAGGGACGATGACTTTCTACGATGACATTTACCCATTCTACCCACTACAAAGGACCCCGTTCATCTTCAGCACCAGTCTGCTTACTGTCATCTTGGTGTTCCTGGTGCTCACTGTCGGCTTCCTCCTCATTGTGCCAGGAATACGTGGCAAATCGGTGAGTGTGCTCAAGAAACTCAGTCTGGCCTCACGGGTGGCCGCTGACTACTTGCATTCACTCAGTTCCATGGACTTGACAACAGTTTGTTGGATTTGTACTTTTCTGAGATGGTTTACTTTTACTACTTGTATTTGAATCCACCTTTTAAACATACATTAGACGTTGCAATCATTCAGTTTTTTCCTAATTAATTTTTGTGTTGGATTTCTTTGTTATACTGATGAAAACACCTAGACTGCTCTCATACAGTATCTCAGAAAGAGAAGAACACTTAAAACACTTAAACTTAAGCTCCTATGCTGAAAGATAATTGACTCCACGTCAGTTCTACAGGGAGCTGAACAGGCCTACTTGAAGATATTTTTTAACTTAAGAACTTTTACTCCTGCTCAAGTTGTTTTCTAGTTAATTTTACTTACACTTAAGTCGCTGTTTCATTGGAGTAATAAGATGTTTGGGTTTGGTTTTGGCTACACCTCCGGCTGTCTCAAATCAAAGATCCCACAGACAACACCTCACTTATAGGCGGTTAAGCTTTGCTTTGTCCTGTTGTCAGAGTGAGTTCCCACTGGGGAAAAAAAAACAGTCTTTACAATGTTTTGATTACTAACAGTACATTTTTTTCCTTTTAGCGGATTCTCTGGACATTCAGGATACTCATTAGCTTATTTATTGGAGCTGTTATAGTTGGTGAGTATATCTTTTTCATAACAGTGTTAACACATACACAAGGGGAAAATAATATCTCATGTTGATAAACATTTGACCATTTAAGTCATACAAAGTGCAATTTGTGTTCCATAATGCTTTACATGAAGTGTGAAGGAGCTAATATGCCATTTTCCCTTCGTATTTCAGCTCTGAACTTCACTAGTGATTGGGCTGAGGCAAGTTTGAGGGCGAACACCACATACAAATCCTTCAGTAATGTTATGGTGAACGCCGAGGTGGGGCTGCATGTCGGCCTGTATGGAATTAACATCACACTCAGAGGTCAGTCACCCAGAAGACATGACTTGACAAGAGCTTTTGCTTTTCCTTAATTGCATCAGAATGTTTTTTATGACTCATATAATGTAAATATTTTGTCATAACTTTGGTGATGGCAAATTACAGTGTTGGTCAGACAGATCAAGTTTTGAGAGCGGTCTGCTTCACAAGTTTAATGAAACCCTTTGTATCTGTCCATTCAGGAGATCCTGTGGTACAGTTCAACGAGACCATAGACTACAATGAAATGTTCGTATGGACCAGCAGCGTAGATGAGGAGTATGAGAATGCTTTGAATAAAGGTCTTCCCAACCCCATACTGTACATTGCTGAGAAGTTCACCCTTAATAGCCCCTGTGGCCTCATCTACCAGTACCGGTACTCAGGAAGATACGCCTCAGCCACCCTCTGGTAAGACACACCGATCACAGAGTGTTAATGCTTTTAGAATGTGGAAATGAAGTCTTATTCAACAAATGCAAACAGAGTACAGTAAAGAATGGTGTCTCTCTCCAACTTTTTCCCACAGGACGGCTTTTTGCTGCTGGCTGTTGGCCAACATCCTCTTCTCAATGCCCGTCATCCTCTATGCTGGCTGCATGATGGCTACCACGGCAGCTTTTATCTTCTTCTCCTTGGCCTCCTTCTCTACGATATACAACCTTCCACAGTGCACCTTCACTATAGGAACAGAATCCTTTGAGACAGATTTCAGTGCTTCATTTTGGCTCGCTTTAGCTACTGGTACGTATCCTGTAACTTGAAAGCATTGAAGCTTTCATTCATTTCTCTACAGTGCACTCAGTTCTGTTAATGCTACCTTCGACTATTAATGACTGCAATAAAGAAAGCAGCTATAAAATTAGAATTTAAGTCAATGAAGAACTTATTAAGACGTTTGTTGGTGTGGAAGTGCATTACTGGTCTCCTGTCAGTAACAGACTCTGCTTCTTTCAGGTTTATTGTGTGCACTGATTGGCATAGTAGTGATAGTACTAGACTGGCTGTTCCCAGAAAAGATGAGGGAAGCATTCAGTGTCGGCGTGGACAGCGATGATGATGATGATGTTTACTCTGAAAAGGGCTACCTCAATGCTGGCTTCCTTGAAGGAGTGAGTTTGGATGGTGTTATTGTGAAAGGAACAGGCAAAGAACCACAGCAGATCTCCACCTTAACCGTAAGGTTTCTGTTCTCTCAGCAAATAATTATTTGAACAGTTATTGTCATTAATAATGCACAATGACTCAATAATGCTGAATGAAATGATTGCATTTTTAATCTCCACAGAAATTATGAGAAACAACCTGTTTCACACAAGGCCATCTTTTCCAGTACTTGAAACCCACACATCCTGCAGAATGAATTTTTTGCTGGGGGTAGCTGTAAATGCAACTGTAAACATTTTTTCAGTCTGCCTGTGAATTCTGATCTGTGTAAATATGTAAATACATATTCTTGAGTTTAAAAAAGCATAAGTAAATATATATATATGAAATGTATTGTTTACAAACAATAAAGAAATAAAACCCATGTATTTTTTTCAGTATTGTTCCAATGACAGAGATACACATCCAATTGCTTCTATTACTTTGTTTTATAACATAGTTAATAATACTGTCATAGTATTATTACTGAATGTAGATTTAAAAGCCACCAGTTGTGTTAAATGATCATATTTGTCTCTACATCAATATGATCAAAGAAAATTGTTTGAAATAAAAAAATCATACTACACGTTTTTCCAGATATTCTGCTCTTTTTAGTGAATACTGGAGCATACAGTAAAGGAACATGGCAGTGCACCCATGTTTAGCGGTACTTGATTCAAAACTGCTTTTAGTGTCCTTTTCCAATGAAAGTTGTAAAATAATGGTAATACTACAAGTACGGTTATTATGGTAAAGTGGTAGTGTGCCAATATCTGCACTCAAAGGCCAAGTTAGTTTAGTAGGTGAAGTCACTACAAAGTCCCAGCGTATTTGAGTCATCAGACAATACACCATAATCACTAATATGTTTTATAATCAGAATGTGGCATTGTTATCTTTGGAATTCAGCATATTCCACCCAAATGATGAGCATCATTAAATGAGTTAAGAGTTAAAAACTGAGCTTGAATAATACAATTCTTGACAATAGCTGATGAACCTGCATAGATATCTAGCCCCTATCATTACAAACCAGCTGATAAACAGTAAATATACAGCCCAACCAGGAATACTATGTACATCATTAAAAAATAAATGCCAATATCTGCATTGTTTTAATAAAAAAATAATCATGTGTGGCAGAGCAAGGGGCTGAACTGCAAGCTCAATGGGCGGAACAAAACATTTACTAGGCCTGACAAGCTAGACAGACTAGTTGGTTTATTGGTAGCTCCAGAACACCAATGACGGTCATGCACTGGTCATGCACTCATTGCCTCTTAAGCTTAGAAAAAAAAGTCTGTTGACATCAACTTGGTGATGAAAAACTACAAATCAGAACAGAGAATGAGAAGACTGGTATTGCTTATGTTTGCAATTATCCTTTAGTTCCCTTAGTTTAAGACTGATTGGCCTGGCTAGGCTTCTTTTCAGTCTGATGCTTATTGTTTCCAATAAAGCTCTTGCCTACCTATTCTCTGTAAACCCTGCTCAACTACGAGAATGAATTATTAGCTTTTCCTAGTGCTTTCTTTTTTCTTTCAATGATGGAAGCATACATTCTGCACATGCAGTGAACAGCCTGATGAAATATGACTTAGCTCTGATATTTCCCTACTTCACTGAGTGATGCTGACTTGATAAGTTATTAGATTTGAAAGGTTCACATCAAGGTTGCTCTGTTTATAAGCCTGGGTGGATACATACAGAACCAGCACAAACAGAACATTAAGACTTTGGAGAAAATATGAAGCACTGTTTTTTTTTTTCTTGCACAACCAGGACAGAGCACCACAGAGCTTCCAGAGCACCAGAACTGCCACTAGATGTACATCGGTGTCTCCTGTCCAGTCAGCAGCCTGAACATCACAGCTGGCATGGTTTTCATATGAATCTGTTACAATACCAAACAGGGTCATGAATCCCATGTAACTCAATATAAATATAAAAGTCTTGTTTAAATAAGGCAGATCCACATATGCATGCTGATTCTAGTCCAAAATAAACCACTCACCTCTCCAACAGACACTGATAGGGCATGGACAATTTTCTCATGTGCCATGGCAACCACACTCTGTCCATTAATCTCAATTATTCTGTGGCCCACACGCACTCCACCCCGTTCTGCTATTCCACCTCGCATCAGACTACAAATCTAGAAGGAAAAGGATTCATTTACTCCAGTAAATACAGCAAAACGAATCCGGGGTGATTTGAGACATACATATATAACACATCAGGGTCTTTTTACAATCTTCTATCACCACAATTAAAGTGTCAGTTCAACAAAAAATCAGTTTTGTTAAAAAGGATAATGTAGCTAACAAGTACAAACATCAATTCCAAAAAAGTTGGGACAGTGCATGAAATACAAATAAAAACAGAAAGCAGTGAACAGAAAGTTGCAACAGTTTAAGACTAGAAATTGTGGAAAACATCTGAAACAGGTGATGCAATCATGCCTGGGTATAAAAGACGCATCCGAAAGGCTTAGACCTTTATGAGCAAAGACGGGTTCACAAAAAATGCATCAGCGAAAAATCCAACAGTTTAAGCATGATGTTCCTTAAGAATTTTAGTTATTTTACCCTATATGGTTTATAACATCATCAAAAAAATATCTGTGTGTAAACGTCAATTCCGAAATGTTCAGAAACGATGCCGACTTCTCTGTGCTCGAGCTCATCTGAAATGGACTGGTGCACAATGGAAATATGTATTGTGGTCTGATAAGTCAAAGTTTTAGAGAGTTTACAGAAATAGTGAAAGTCATGTTCACCAAGCCAAAGAAGAAAGGAATCATCCAGATTGTTACCAGCATCAAGTTCAAAAGAAACTTTTAGGAAAGTCCATGCTTATTTAAACATGACAACACCAAGCCATTTTCTGCATATTACAATAGTATGGCTTTGTAATTACAAAGCGCAGTTGCTAGACTGGCCTGCCTGCAGTCCAGAACTCCCATTGAAAACGTGTGCCACATTATAAAATGCATGAAACAACAACAAAGCCCACATATGGTTTCACAGATGAAGACATGTATAATGGAAGAAAGGAAAAAAAAATTGCTTTTGGAAATGATGTTTGTAATGGTTGCTTATGCTACACTAAAAAGCATTGGGCAAATTCAAAACTACAGAAGCAAACTTGTCTTGTCTGAATTACTACATTTTGTAAATTTGTAAATTGTGTAATTTGTGCAAAGTTTCAGTGTAAAAGGTACTCACTATGCCATTCTGCACACTGAAGCCTAGCTGGTACTGCAGGTCTGGTCTCTTTATAAGCACAGTGGTGACAGGGGGGCAGCTTACTACGCTCAGCTTTACCTGTACCTGACTCTTCAGTCCCTGGAATGAACACACACACTAGATTATCTACAAGAGTGCTCACCTTCCATGATATTACAGACTCCAGATATACGTTCAGAGCTGATATAACAGTGTGTATAAAGCACTATGAATTCAAGGGATGCATACAAACCTTAATGATGCCTTGGCAGGTAGCCAGGGGTAAGCCCACCAGGCTTGTGTCGTTGACGGCCATAATTTGATCCCCCACATTGAGCTTCCCAGAGCGGGCAGCAGGCCCACTGTTCAGCATGCAAGCCAGGATGACTGTGGGCAGGATAGAGCCCCAGCCAGACTCGACTATAACTACACCTAGAATCTCCCCTTTCTGCTTCTCCAGGAGCAGCTACAGAGGCAGACCGGGGTCAGTGGGAGGGAACACCAGAGGGAAAGAGGGAGACAGTTGTATAGTATAAATCAAATTATATGTGAAAAGAGAAGAGAGCAACATGAATAAATGCTGAACGTACATATAGCAAAATAAATCATGTTGTCACTGTCCAAAACGTAATTTTTTCAAAAGATGGCAAAAATGTTCTCAACTTTAGATTTAAGTTAATGTAAAGAGATTTAATTCCAAGTAATTTGAGGCATTTCTGTCAGTCCATTCATCATGAAACTGTCACACAATGGAAAGGACAGCCGATGTGTTAAAATGACAGAGGAAAAAGAAAATGGGGATCCTTTTTGGGTGGACAGTGACAATAAAATACTTTGACTTACATGCTTTGATAAAAAAATACACTGATGACAGAATAGTGTTTGAGTAGCACTGATACTCCAAGACTTCCCATACCTCTTTACAGTTTTCTGAGTTGGAGAAGTGGATGAGGTCATCATTGTACATTTCTTGTGTACTAAGAATATCACTATAGTCTTTCTGACTAAGATCTTTAGGGTTGATCCCATTTGCTCGCAGGAATTCTTGGTAGGCCATGCTAAACGCCTGACCAATGGACTGTGCAATGAGCTGGGCCTGAGGAGAGGGAGAGGAGGGGATGGTGGGTGCTCAGCAGAGAGGAGAAGAGGATACTTAAATGTAACACACACAAAGTGAGAGGGAGTGCTCAGCTTAAGACAAAACAGTGGAAGAAAGATAAGTCATAAGCAGTTACACAAGTGTACAATCTTCAAGTCACTGTCCCTGTTGAACTGAGCTAGTCTGAGGTCAGACACGGTAAAATTACAAGGATTAGTTGTAATTACCTAAGATGAGAAAAAGGTTTTTAAGCTGATTTGTGGCTAGATTTGGCATTTACCAATGGAGACATGGTCTTATATGACCACGATAAGCAACTTACACAGTAAATAAATTACAATCCAATTTCACTGTGAAAATTACAAGATATCTAATATATCAACAAAACTGGAATCAGACCATAGTGTTAACTTACATCTTCAGACTCAAAAACATAACAGATCATTCGGTACTGTTTCCTGCCCTCTGCGGCATTGAGGCCGGTGTCAGTACAATCCAGAGAGGCAGAGTGAGACATTCGTCTACGGGCCATCAGAACCACCACACTCCCAATGTCTGCAATGTAGGAGATGGTGCGGAGAGCGTTGTCCATCATCGTCTCCTGCATCCAAAAATTTACAGTAGCATTTAATTTTTAAGAAATACTGCTAAAAAACCAAATTAATTTAAGAAATTAATTACTAAATAGTGGCATAATGGGGTATTAGAGGTAAAAATGGTGATCAGATTTTTATGACTTAACAAGCTGTAAACAATTATAACAATATTTAATAAAATTCGCCTTAAGTTTTTGGGGCCAAAATAAAATTGGAAAGCTTTATTTATATATATCCTGAAATGCTGTACATCCATTTGTGACATTTTTGGATATAACAAGTTTTTGCCCATATTAATTCTAATACGTAAATATATGAAGAGTTTCATTCATAAACGCTATGTATCTGTTTGTAATAATTTTGAATATAATTTTTGAATGGAACAACAGCTTATATTAGAATGGAAAACACGTTTGTATTTCTCGGACAAAGGCAATATTAATCATAATACAGACTTGATATGTTATTTTTTGTTATTTTCTTGCTCCCAAAAACATATACCATGAAAAAAAGAAAATTCTTGAAAGTGGTCTTTAATGCATTTTGGGACAAACACTTGAGCAACACTGAAATGTACTTTTTTGGGTATGATTTTATTTTCTATCTGCCATATTAATGATTCACTGAATGCTTTGCTAAATAACTATATTCAAATCACTGTAAAGTCAGAGACACCACTATGACACCCCTATGAGACACTAATTTTTGTAATTCACATCCTATGTTACACTCTTCTGTGTGTCTACATGACAACTCTTGTCATAATGTGACAAACAAAAAAGAGACAGTGAACAGTTAACCTGTGTGTCAGCATTGAGCACTTTGATGGCTTTTGTTGAAATGAAGAGGTCAACCTCGGTCAGACTCTGGCTCTCTCCATCCAGACACTAAAACACACAGCAGAAGAGTTACAGCTACATCTAGTGGACTGAGCAGACATTTTTGACAGCTATCCATCATTTTGACAACCTACCCAGAAAACAACCACAAGCACAAAAGTAACAGTGTTGATAGCTGCCACTGGAACCAAAGGGTTACAAGATCAACATGTATAATTTCTGTTTAATGTTTAATGACTAATGAAGGAATACACACGTTTGTATGTATGTATTTAAAAATCTGGACACCGATCTAAATCTTTTTTAGCTGTTCACTGAATCATTTCTTGAAGCCCTTATGTTATTTGAGTCCTCTCAAGTACCTTAACTCTGTCCACAGCCTCCTGAGCTTGCATCATGCGCACGCTCTTAGACGGGTTTCTGTCTGACAGGAGCTGGGTGGAGCCGAGGTAGTTTGCAGCAAAAATGATCCCGTCAATGAGATCTTCTGGTTCACACGGACCTGGAACTGAGTGAGAGGCACAAAGATCAGAATAAAGACATTTGTTTCATAAGAATTCATAAGAAAAAAAAATAATACTGGGCGTATAAAGCGGTCATTTCAAACCAATTAAAATGTTTAGAATCTACACTGTGTTACAGCGTTTTTTTTTTGCTAATACGTTCACTTGTTAACTTTCACCATACATGTCATCTTTCACAGGAAGACTGATAAAAGCTTACCATCCACAAAGCTTGGAAAGGAGGGATTTCTCTTTCCTTGCTGAAAAGCAAAGAACATCATTTAGGTTGCAGATTCACACTGACTTCAAATTTTGCATGATGGTGGATTTCAGTAACAGAAGCAAAAGCTTGGCTCTTGGTGATTCCTAGTATACAGCTAGTTTCTCACCTGAGGGAGGTTATGGTTGCTTGTTGCTGTGCTAGATCCAGAGCTCACTGTACAGTGCTGAGGGCTGCTCTGAGAGATCTGAAAATGTCCAAAAAATTATAATATGACTGAAATTGAAATTGAGCGGTTTTATTCCATAGCGTCTCCTGAACACAAATTTGAGTATTAATAAGAAGGTGCTCTAGTTATGTGAAGGTTCAACATGTCAAGACACCTTTTTCCCCCACATATGCTCTCTGAAAAAAATGGTACTAAACTGTCAGTGGGGTGGTACCCTCAAGGGTACGCGTCAGTATCGTTAGAACAAGAACATAATTTTTAAAGTTGCATGGACTCCACACACCCTGTCTTGTCTCCAGGCTTTTTACTTTATTCGGTTTTAAAACAAATGCATACCTTCCCCCTGGAAAAAAAAATTAAGGTACACAATTGGACCTTAAAACCACGGTTGTACCTTTGAGGGAACATTTACGTTGTGTGTACGTTGATGAATGAAAACTGTACCTACGATTTTCAAAGCGAAAGTAAGTTCACATCCCCTACAACAGATACACTTCTGCACGTTTTAACACAAAATTACTCTTTCTTTTCTGAATTTAACAAATTGGGAAATTAAAAAAAAAAAACAAAACTGACCTGTCCAAAAGTTACAGCACATTTTATATTTATGATTTAATTTTTTCCAATATGTTAAACTCAGCAAATCAACAGAATATATGCACTAAAATTTGCAGGATATATTTATGGGTGTCCCCTGTAGAGAATGTATTTTTACTCACACTGTCAGAAAAAAAGTACTATGCAAGTACATTTTTGATTCATCAAGATCATTGTCCAGGTATCCTGAAAGGAACAGCAATAGTTTTATGGTCCAACTGTGTACTTTAATTAAGTTTTAATTCCCAAGGAAAAGGTACAGATTTATACCTTTTAATAATGTAATGTTTTAAAACAGGACAATAAAATATAAAGGCTGGAGACGGGATGGGGTGTGTGGTCTCAATACTGCTTTAAAGAGTAATTTGAATGGAATATGGTACAATTATGTTCCCTAACTAGAAGTACTGAAGACGTACCCTTGAAGCTACCACCCCAGTGACCTTTTATCTTATTTCACAAGGAGTGTTCAACCTTTTGCATACAACTATATACTGTCATGTATACTTGTGTTTGGTGCTACTACAAGTGTATTAGGCACAACAGTGTGGCTGGAGTTTTGAAAAACCTCAATGTCACTGCTGGGCTGGAACAGTCTGCCATCCAAAACAATTCCAGCCAGCAGTGGTCCTTGACCACAAACTGACCACTGATGAAGGCCTAGAGGATGACTAACACAAATGGTGCCTGGAAAAAGATGAGCTATAGTCTCTAGGTGCAACCCAGTGTTTAAAAAACCCCAGCAACACAGCTGTGTCTTGCTGAGTGTGGTCCACCATCCAAATAAGATCTGGCCAGCAGTGGTCTTATATGGTCCCTTCCATTAACGGGAGGAGTAGAGGGGGCTGATAAATTGTGCAGGAAGAGATGAGCCACAGTCAGTTAACGTAAACCTACAAAGTTCAACCATATAGTAGGTGTTTCTGAAAAAACGGCCAGTGTTTGTACCAGGTACAAGGTAGGGGACCTAACAAACTCATATAGGAACCAATAGGGGGGTAACAATTCACAAAATTCTTAATTTGGTTCGATAGTATCTCCATCTGATTTTTCAATACAGCAAAAAAATGTCATGCTTGAAAATATGCCTTATGTTAATGGTTCCAATGTCAGTTTATTACAGCATTCAACATAATAAAGTTAAATATTTTATAATAATGTGCTAGCCAAAAGCTAATATATGTGATTACGAGGAGGGTGCTTTCCTTCCTGCTCTCAATTTTGAGGTAAAGAGGAAGCAATATTTTCAGAGTAGTGGGCTTGCTTGTTCAATTTGTCTTTATATTTCTTTCAATATAATCAGTATTAAATTAAATACTTTATCTGCTCCTGTCTGTTGAATGTAGTGCTCCCTACCTGTATGTACTGAATTGAGAGGCTTGTATTGAATAATACATACAACATGACTCTCTTAGGAACCAGGCATGCATTGATGCAAAGTCCTTTATTAACTGGGCTGTTACCTGGCCCTGACTCGACCTCCGTTCCTCTTCTTTAGTAGCATTCACCTGGCCCTTTTGCAGTTGTGGGTCTGGAGGCTGCACAGCTGTGTTAGGCGCCCTTGGTTTGCTGTCCTTCTTCTGTGATGACAGCAATGAAGCTTTGGAACTGTCTGGAGCCGCCCTCTTGTCACATGATTGCTCAGCTACAGCCATGTCTGTCCCCATGCTCTGAGGTCTTACTTTCAGTTTCGCCCTCACTCCATTAACGATCTGGTCCACGTCCCCTTCAGCATCCACTGCTGGTTGTCTATCCCTCCTGGTCTTTGCTCTATAATTACTGTGAGGGCGCCCCTGTCCTCTGCCTATACTCGCCTCTGGACAGTCACTGTCTTCATGTGAATGCCTGGCTTCTTTTTCCTCTCTGCCAAGTTCTCTGCATGTATGTCTCTTTCTTCGATCTCCTCTGTTCTCAGGATCTTTGCATTTTGTAGTTCCACTACCGCTTGGGCAATTTCTGCCACCACGGTCTTCCTTCCAAGCCTGCTCTCCTTTGAATCTGGACCCTTTTCTTGAGTTTCTTTCTGACCTGCCCACTTGACTTGGATTGTCAGCCCTTTGGCCACTAAATGAAGCCTGGGTGTCACCTCTACAGGTCTCTGGCAGTCTTTTGTCTCCTGTGTAATTATGAGCTAAAGCTTCTCCTTCTCTGCTTCTGTCTTGAGTGTAACTTGGCTGTTGAGGAAGGTTTCTATTGTCCTCTGAAAGATCAGAAGGTCTTTTTGGGAGAATTTCATCCTGATCTTCCTCTGCCTTCTCTCCTCCATAAATAAAATATTTATCATCTTCTTCGTCCTCCTCCTCCTCCTCCTCTTCCTCATCATCTTCAACCTCCTCTGCCTCTTCTTCTTCATCTTCTTCATCCTCAGCCATGGGGGCTTGGATGAAAGTTGTCTCTGTGATGGGCTCAGGGCGTTTGTAGACCAGCTGTTCTTTGCCTTGCTGCAGCACTTCATAGAAACCCTCAGTCTGTGCCCAGACTTCCACTGGCATTCGTCCACCATCTGGTTCTCTGGAAGTGCTGGGTCTATCGCTGCTATCGGCGCCTTCATGACAGTCCATTCCCTCCATATAGCTCTCATCCTCAGGGCAACAATGAACGTAGTAGGTCATTCCATCTGCATCAGTATGCAGCTCCTCATCTTCCTCATAGTCCTGTTCCTCTTCCTCCTCGGATCCTACATTATCATATTCAGACAGTGAGTCTTCCATGCTGTCAGGCTGAATTGGGCTATCACCACGGATGGAATCCTCCCCAGAGACAGAGCCATCGCTGGGGCAGAAGCTGTCTGGGATAGGGGTGCTTGACTGGCTCTCGATGGTGCTGCTGGGAGGTTCCTCAGAGTCTTCTCTGCCTCTGGAGTGTTTCCCACTCTGCTCTGGTGCAGGTGGAGGATCAGTCTCAGTCACACTGGCCCTGAGAGCCTGGCCTCGCCTGAGAGCCATGATTGGTTCCAGTAAGCCTACACCAGTGAAACTCCTTTAGAGCTGTAAAACAACCCATACTACAATAATGAAATCATAAACAAAACAGTTGGGTGTGTCAGGACAGTAACACTGTAGGAAACTGAAAAATCCAGTAATATTTAAAGTTTACTGTGCACCTTGGCCAGGTTGAAATGAGCAAAACTAGACATTTGGCTACATTAATAATAAGTGTTTGAGGTATTTTCAATGAAATCAGTATGTGGCTCATTTCCTCAGCCTGGGATGGCACCAAGAGCTTGAACTTGCAATAAAAGCTACTTTGTTACTTTAGGTGGTGATGTAGGCCTATGCCTTTTACTCACTAGAAGGGGATGGAGAAGTAGTCTAGCCATTCCTTTGCAACAGCACACCGGCTTGACCACTAGCCAGCTAGCAAATTTGTGTGCAGAAATTATGTAGATTATAAAAGGCTGTGAGTTTAAGAAAAAGATCTCAGAACAGGAAAAATGCCAGACATCCTCTTTGGTGTGGAATTGGTTCAGTTTTCTGAAATCAGACATAACAGAGAACAGCCACAAACTCTCCAATTTCTTCAAGGTTCAAATTACTGTTCATTTAAAATTGAGCCTTTGAAATGCATATAATAATATAATTGAAAATACAATTAAATTATATGGAAAAATAAATTATGAAATGATTATTGGCCAACTTGCTCATCTCTACATGCACCTACAATGTTTTCTGGCATCGCTATCTGGTTCCTGAAATTGATGAACATCCCCAGAGAGACTAATCTTTACCCAAACCCAACCATGAACCCCAGAGAGTCCAGAGGAAAGGTCAGCACAATTCAGCACTGTGTCTCAGCAGGAAAGGTGTACATGCTGATATTTCTGTAGACTACAGTGATTTCTCCCTTGTGATGAGAGGCATTGGATTCCCACAGGGGCCAATAAGGATTTACTGCAGAACGCTTCCCCGTAGTTTACTTTGTAGCTATTCCTTTGTAGAACAAAGGAGTGATTTTTTTTTCATCTGTGTACTGTATGACACAGTTTCTTACAAATTGGAGACAGCCGTCTTCATGAGAGAAACCACAGGAATAAATGAATAATCTGGAATTTCCATCCATTATAGATTCCACACACTACTCAATACACAAAATGATGCCATCTCGCACTATTTTATTGCACTTTTTTTAAAAAACATAAATCTCATCATAAGGCAGTCAAAGCTCTTGCAGAAAAATATCATTGCTGTTGATATTTGAAAAGCAGAGCAGTGATTTTTTTTATAATTTTATGGTGGACTTAAATATTTTGTTAAGCTAAAAGAACTGATAAAGGCTGCATTTCTAGAACTACAGTCATTCCTGTTTGTCTTTGGGTAGTGATTGGTGTTTCATCCAAAATCAGAACATAGCACACACCTGCTAGTATTTTCAGGACTTTCATTACAGAATTACCTTATGTACCTTTTTGTTATGGAAGTGATGGCAATAAAAACACATCACAAATCCCACAAATGAAGACTGTAAATGTACACTGTATCAGGGATTTTGCATTTCCGAGGTAAAAGTATAGGACTGCTGTTCTGCAGGGAGTTGCTGTCTCATCTAAATGCAAATGCTTGTTTTTTTTGCAGGACACTTCGCCTATATAGCTGATGAGTGGGCTGTTTAAAGTAACACCAGTGACTAGGTGCAATTAACGCCATAAAAGGTCTCATAATGATTTGCAATAGTCCTGCTTCATCCAGGACAACTGAAGAGCAGACAGTACAAGGATTTTAAACAAAGGAGTTGAACTGCCTGCTTGCTTCATGTAATCAAACCAAAAACACTGTAGTGTTTACAGGCTGTCAACTCGCTTCTTTGAGCACTGATTTATTGCAGCACCCACTGAGGCAGAGCTTCTTCTTAAATAACCCTCTTTCCATTCACATACACAAATGAGACACAATCAGCAATTTCAGCATTAAACTCCTCCAATGCAAGGAAGGAAAAAACTGCTGAGGCTACTCTTTTATCTTACATGCATTCATTTCAATTAGTCCAAACATCTGATGTCACTACAACGTCAAAACATCCAGAGCACAGAGCATTTAACACAGGATTAAGATCTGTGGAGAGATTTAGGATCTCCAGTTCTCCATGTAAGGGTGATGCTAGATACCATGTCCAGGTCTTCTCCTGCTCCACGTTAAATACATTAGAACATCTCTTCTGCCGCAATCAGCCCCAGTTCTCTGGTGTTAAATGCGCGCCCATTGATTGCATTCATTCTGAGAACATGACTAACGCGCTGCAATTACAGGCTGCCGTTCATTTACACAGAGAGAAACAGAGCTCTGAAAAACAGGCTTACCAGAGGCGGGTTAGTTCTCTGATTGCTTAGACATCTGCGAGCATTGTGGATGTGGGAGAGACAGAGAGAGGCGCAGGAACGTGGACACACTCTCTCACACACACACAGGGACACATACACACACTCACACACCCTCAGCATCCCGGGACAGAGGCAGTGCCTTAAAGAGACAGAGACAGAAAGAAAACCAGTCCTCAACGCAGGCAGTTATTTGTCTGTTATGAAATGTTATGGCTGCAGTAATCAGCTGTAGTGCTGCTGTTTTTTTTTTCTAAAACGTAAATCAATTACAAAGAATCGTCAATCAACTCAGACTGCTTCTTACTTCAGTCTGCATCCCGCAGGCAGAGGGTGATTATTGATGTCTGTCTCTGACCGCACGCCTCTCTCAGCTATCACTGCAGAGAGGAGTGATGAAGCCAGCAGCCACAAACACGCCACTGAGAGCCGAAACAAAGAGTTGGGGTTCAAAATAAAAGTTAAGGGAGCGTTTTAACTTCGCATAAGAACAACTGTCTCGAGATCTTTTACACTTTTGGCTATGTAAACTCACTGACCACTTTATTCAGTGGGAATGGTTCTCCAGAATAATTTGCTGCCTGCTCAGTAGTGGTCCTGTGTGGGTCCTACCCTGATATAATAATAATAAAAAAAAAACAGCACAGACCAGCAAAACCAGCATTGTTGTGTCTGGTATGGCTGACCATGCTGGGTGACCAGGTAGACCAGCACCAGACCAGCATAAATCAGCTTAGACCGCCATGGAATTCATGCTGGTCTGTGTTGTTGTTTCATGTTTGTTTGTTTTTAACAGGGTAACCACTGGCAAAAATGTAAAGAATGGCTAACAAATTATGCAGAGAAATAGATGGTCTTTAATCTGTAATTGTAGAGCTACAAAATGCACTGTTAAGGATAAGATGACCTGATGAAATGGATAATGAAGTGTAAATACAAGGTAGGCCTAAATAAGGAAGCGGCTAGTGAGTAGTGAGTGTGTAGTAAATGGGCGAAAAATAAACCAGTACAGCCACATTAAAAAAATACTATCACAAACTATTAATACAAAGATTTTTATTCAGTGTTTCACACCCTGCATTACACTAAATCCAGTGAAACAGGCCTAATTATACTCTCTTTTCAATGAGTCGTGAAATTATGACCAGTGTTTTTTAAGTGAGAAAAATGATTTGGCACTCAGTACCAGCAATGACATCATCACGCATGGGTAGAAAATGCTCCACCATAATATATGTATGATATTATCACACTGAAATCATAACAGATTCCCAAAATAGGCCTGTAAGTGGAAAGTTTCTGAGCTAGAGTGAAGAAATGTGTGAATACCGTCTCTCAAACATAACCACCTTAGAATTATTGGCTATGGAGTGATGGCTATTCACGCACATAATATGAGAGTTAAAATACGAAAGAATATGCATTAAACAGCAACAAAATCGCTTATGTAAAATTATTATTATTATTATTATTATTATTATTATTAACAACTTTGATTTTGAAGCGTGAGCGGAGTGAATGACTCTTAATGTAGTTCGCTTCACTCTATCCGTCTCAGTGGTCCTTACAAGATGGCGGAGGCCGATTCTTGGGGTGAGGGTCTGAGTGAGGAGTCAGATCATCTGTTCACGCTGTGTGTTGTGTGTTCACTCGGGAGATGTGCTGATCTGCTTGGTTTAAACTGTAGCCGATGTGACGCAGCGCTCTCTCTCTGTTCTGTGTCCTAGACGCTGACAGCTTCGAGCCGGAGGAGCCGCTCTCTCAGGCGGCGGCGGGTCGTGATAAATGGGAGGGCGAGGATGAGGATGAAGATGTGAAAGTTAGTAACTTCTCTGGCTGGTGGTCGTTTCCCCCCTCAGTTAAAGCTCGTTTTTCTTCTGCTCGAGGTTGTTCTCCACGGAACGAGAGCCAGTAAAGCCCGCTGAGTCTCCGGGCGATTAGCCACCGTTAGCGGGGCAGCTAACCTAGCAGGCTGGAGGAGCCGATTAGCGGCTAACCGTTAACCGTTATAGCAGAATGATGGATGGCGAGCTCAGATAATGTTAATGACTACAGCTGCGCCCAAAACCACATGACTACTGCTATACCACTCATACTACACTGATGAATGGGCCTCTTTTGGTGGTGTACAGTTTCTGTCTGTTTAATGTGGTAGTTTGCGGTTTTGGACGCAGCCTATGTTAAAGTTACTGAGTAAAATTTACTTTCTGTATGACGACTGTGGCCTGAACAGGGATTCCGCTGAATTTTCAAAATTTTCTGTATAATTCAGTCGCTGAGATGTAAACAAAACGAGTCCGGGTGGTTTGATGTGAAATGATTAATTGTAGAGGACGTTACAGACTCAGATTTCTTATAGTGGTGATCATAGGAACCGGGGGTCACCATGTCTACAATTCAAATATAGACATTTTATTTACTATCCTACACGTGTTGTTTATACGTGAAGTCGATGATGATGTCGCCTCACAACAGCAATGTACAGCTCCACCATGAATGGCTTTTAAAATGTACATTTTAGGCCAATTTCTTACCTCAGAGCTTAAGTAAAATGATGTCTCGGACAGCAGGCAGCATATTCATAACTGTATAATGTAGTGACTTTCTGCGAGGGAGCTTTTAGAGGCGCTGAATTCTTCAGACGTTTGATCCCAGTCACCACCAGTGTGAACAGTTCGACTCTTCGTTTCTGTAGAATGGAGCATTTCACACCGAACAACTCATAATGACTTTGTTTATATTTTAACTGTTCAGTGATATACAAATTTCAGTAGAAATCAGTAGAGTTTCCCTTTAAAGTATGTCTGGGTCAGGAATTTGTGTTGTTAGTGGTACTAGTCACTGTTAGATGAATTAGTGCTATTCAACATTAATCCTTAACAGAATTTAAAGGGGAATTACACAGATTTTTCAAAATTTCTACATAAATTAAATTGTTCAGTTTAAACAATTGTTCAGAGTGGGTTAGTGTGCAATGGTACGCTGTAGAGGAACTCTTTAACTCCTGGTTCTTTATAGTGGTGGTGACAGGAATCAGGGGTCACAGTGTCTACAACACAAACGTAAGCATTTTATTTACTATCCAAAATGACCAGTGAACCTACACGTCCTTCTAAGTTGTTAGATGTAATACTGATGCTGGTGAAAAAATTGGTAAGTCTGTTTTCTTTGGGTACTGTCTTTTTTAAGAACTCGCTGCATTTACCTTTCTGCCATGAAAGTCTCCTAAAAGTAAATTTACGTTTCAGGCTAAAATCTCAAAATTATCGTAGAGCGGTGTCTCAAGTACCTGGTGGCATAATTATAACCATTTCATATAACGACTTTCTATAAAGTAGCTTTTAGAGGCATTATATGCTTCAGACATCTGGTTCCCATCACCACCACTCTGAACAATTCTGACAATCCTGAGTTACTCCAAAACAGAGCATTTCGCATCAAACCACTCTGAATTACTTAATGTTCATCTCAACCATTATGCAGAATTTTTGAATTTAGCTTTTTAACTGGGTATTTATTATATTTTCAAAGGCTCTAGCTCAGTGCCTCCTTATCCTTTTTAGCATTTCCTTTACTCTAACACACCTGATCCAGTGGATCTAATTAACGAGTTAATAGTCTCTGATTGCCATGCTAGAACCGAGTACATACTAAACTATGCAGAGCAGTCTTATTCCAGCACCAGGACTGAGGACCACTGTACTAGCTAAAAAAGGTAGCATGCATAAGTAGAAGTCTTAAAATGTACAAGTTTGTTTTCAAAATATTTCCACAGACTGACTTGTTTGTTTGAAACGAGGTGATTTTATTTGTTGTAGTGAATGCTGAAGATGTGTTCCTGGAGAAACATTTACATTTATTTATTAAAGAAGAAAACATCTAAGCAAGTATGTGACCCAGTCCACTGTTATCCTGTGAAGACACATTTTTCATCTGTCTCCCTATCCAGGATAATTGGGATGATGAAGAAGAGGAAGAAGAAAAGGTGACAGAAACAAAAGCAGGTGAATGAAAGTTCCATGAGAAATGTTGTAATCGGATTTACTTTTATTTGTTTGATTCAGCTCAGACACTGTTTGTTATTCAGTCACAGTGGCAAAGCCTACAGAAAAGAAAAAACTTAGCGACAAAATCAAAGAGAAAGAGAGTTTACAAAGGAAAAGACAAGAAGAGCTTCGAAAGCAGGTGAGTGACTAGCACAGTGCCTCACGTCTTAATTCTGTTACATATTTATTGATGGGCTGTTTGTTTTGTGGGCTCGCAACTTGCTATCAAAGTTTTACACTGATCAGGTGGGGCCATGGTTTCGTTCCCTGCAGTGGGGCAGGTTTACACACAGTGGTCCAGTGTCGGCCCGCTGGTGATACGGTAAACATGCAAATTGGAAAGAGGAAAAAAAGGGGGCACATGTAGGTTTTCTAGCCATTGTTTAATAACATAGAATGTCAAATAAAGTACATTGGCACAAAGTAGTTATGAAATAAGATAAACGTTTTTACTTGCATCTTACCTGGTAAACAAAGCTATATATTTTTGTTCACTTTAGTTAAGTGTATTTTGTAGAGTTGTGAGTGACTAAGCTGTGATGCCTGTGCTTGTGTCTGTTAGGTAAGCACTTGAGAACCAGTCAGCCATATTTGTTTAGAGTTGTTAGAGTGTAGATGATCTAGGATATTTTTTTCTTAAAGTAATTTAAGAATACATGAGCAGAAAGGAGCTCATCCTAAATCATTAATCAGAGGCACACATTTCTAAGCATCGCAGAATAAGATTGCTGGTGGTGCAACAGGTCCAAATAATGTTGTTTGTTGGGACATAAAAGACCAAAATGTGACCTAAGATTTGTGTTCTTACTCTGAGAAATAAACTTTTACAAACATGCACTGATGAGTGGAACAGAAGATGTTTGCTGCTTTTAGTTGATAACTACTGTTTCTGTGGCAGTTAGAGGAACCAAAAGACAGCACAGAACTCACACCAGAGGAGGAGTTAGCAGAAAAACTTAGAGTGAAGAAGCTTCAGGAGGATTCAGACTTGGAACTAGCGAAAGATGCTTTTGGTAAGTCCTCTGCAGTGGAGCAGCAACATCCCAACAGCAACTGATTTCTTCATGACTTATTATTTGGAAGATGAGCAGATGCTAGTTAACCGCCTATTTCATATACTTATGAGGATTTACTGTTTTTTTTGTGTGTGTGTGTTTTTTTTCCCAATAGGCATTGTATCAAATAACGTAACAGGAATTGATGCCATGAGTCCTTCCTCCAAAGATGATTTCACTGAGTTTGAGCGGTTGCTGAAAGATAAAATAACTTCATATGAGAAGTCAATACACTATTCCAGCTTTTTAGAGTCACTCTTCAGAGACCTGTGTCTTTCATGTGAGTTCTAATTTCGTACAGTTTCATCATCACTGTGCATTATGATGAGATTACATGTTTTGTGTAATTATTGTTACAAATCACAATTTGTGAATTGTGTTACAGTGGAAGTTGAAGACTTGAAGAAAATTAACAACTCTCTCACAGTGTTACTCAGTGAGAAGCAGAGGCAAGAGAAGGTATGTTTGAACATTAATTTATCAAACTAAAGAGAGTACATTCGGTTAGTATTTGGATATTGTCATAGTGTTGTTTGGGCTCTGTCCTCCAATACAGTAAAATTAAGTTGAGGTTGGAGAGCATTTACATTTGCATTTGTTTAGAAGTTGTTAGATATCCATGCAATCTAAACTTGCTTAACAGTACATTTACATAAACAAGGACTTGTGGTACATACAGGACATACATATATGGTACATAGTCAAACGCAGCAAAAGACTGATGAAGAATAATGTGGGCAGTATTCTTCATCCAGTCATAAAATCTGATCACGTTGTCACTGGATACTTACTTGAGATGCATGGAAATACTTGTTATAAAAGGTCATATGTCTCACTGTCCACTTACAGTTAGATCACTAGAGATGTGTGTTTATACCAAATGTAATCAGGGCCTTTGTATATGTCAAGATAATGACTTTTTTCCCTCAAAAAATTGACTCATTAACTCAACACTGACTCATGTCAATTCTAACTTGTGGAAAAAGTAATTTTTTCAGGACTCCAAGACTAGGGTTGGTGACCACTGTCTTATGTGGTCCACACAGTATGTAGATGGATTCTGCACTTTAAAGCAGCACTATATAAGATTTTTAATCGTAATTGTGAAAAATTAAAAGAAGTAGCATTACTGAGTCAGGAGAACAAAAAAAACGCTAAAATTTGGTGTCCATGTGCTGCTGTAAGTCTCCCTGTAAAGCCTGAAATAATTATTTAAAAGTCAGAGGTGTGGAGTCGGATTTTGCCAGAGTTTTTCAGGTCACGTCATATTAACGCCACACGCACAGACTCAAAAAGACTTCCAGCTCGATGTTTAGGTCTCAAATTAAGATATGATGACTGATGAAGATATGATGACAATGGTAGATAGTTCTTTTACATTCTCAGAAGACAAGTCTTTCACCAAGTTTTGACTGAGTTTTCTTTAAATACTCTTTCAGTACACACACACACGGTCATCAGATTAATCTGAAGGGTTAATGAAGGGGTCTGAAGCACAGAGGTTTCCAAATCCCCAAATCCTACACAGTGTAGCTTAAACCTCAGTCATTTCATATTTAAGATTCAGAGCCCAAACAACAAAAATGTCACTATTCAGTTACCTAAAAGTTGTCACAACAAATTAAAAAGAACACCTACTAATTTTTCTCCACTCGTTAAAACAGACAGGGTCCAATTTTACCGCCTGAGTTTAATTTGGTTGTCATTAGAGGCGTCAAACTAAAATGTCAGTTTTCACTCATGTTTTCCCAGAATGTTACGTTGTCAGTCATTTGGTAGTTGCAATATTAGTTTTGTGTTGTTTTAACAGCAAAATAAAGGGAAGAAGAAAAAGAAAGGCGTTTTACCTGGAGGTGGATTAAAAGCCAAGATGAAGGATGATCTTGCTGACTATGGCGAGTTTGACGGAGGTTATGTACAAGACTATGAGGATTTTATGTGACCCCGGCTTAATAACCAATCACATTCCTTGATTGCTGAAACATACACCTTTACAGCATGACCTCTCCCTGCAGCCAGACCCACTTCCAGAGCCATGCTAGAAAACTGAACGTCATCCCATGTAACACATGCTAGCCTAAGCTTAAGTGGTATATTCTGAGAAAGATTTTTCTCTGGTTTATATTGACTGTAGGTCAGTCCAGTGCTTGCTGGGAAAAACAGTGATAATGAGGTAATGTTCTCTTTTAAAAGTCTCAGAAAGTAAAAAATGAAAACTGATAGATATGAACCAGCAGCTTCATTCGAGATTCTATAAAGGATTGACAGTATTACTGTTTGAAACTGCTACTACTTGGAAATAAATATGACGTTCTATGCAAATTTCATAACATGTCTATATGTCATGCATTTTGATTAGATTTGGGCCAGCATTTATGAGGAGGCTATATCCGACTGCTCACTGCTCTTGCTAAATAAGGCAAACTATAATGTATGTGATTGTCCTTTAAAGCAGTCACATGTACACCATCATTTTCATTTTTCTGTTTTTAGATGATAGTGTTATTGATTTGTTTAGATGCATTGAAACTAAAGAGTTGAGCGTAGTGTGCTGGATCTGATTTAAAAAATGTATTTTCACCTGCAAAGACAGAGCAGTTTAAGTATGCATTCCATGTGACTCACCGAACCAGAGTTAAGGAGCTATAATTTGCTGCATATTTAAAATATTCCATGCTGTAAGGTGCATTTCAAGTTTGCAAAGTAGTCCTCTGAATTTTAGCCGAGCTGATTTTGTGAAGATTATATTTGCAGTTTAACCGTTTTCTTTATGCTCAGTGTCGCTCATTTGATCGTAACCATGCAAGTGAGAATGATGTTATGTTACAAAGGAATTTAAGAATGTTAGTCTGGTTACTTTGCAAAGGACCAAGAGTCTTTAGATATATTCAGGTGGAACATGGAGTTTCCATTTTTTTAGATTTGCTTTATGGAGATTTAACATCAAAGCAAAACAGATTTGCTTTATGGAGATTTAACATCAGCAAAGCAAATAATAGGATTCTGCAGTGTTTTATAAAGATCTAATTTAATAAAAGTCCTCAAAAAGTAAACTTTTGTCCTCTCTTCAATGCATTTTGCACTCCAGAATACATGGACATTGTTGGACATTTAATGCAGTAATTCTGTCACAGTTAAGCTTAATTTCAGTGTTTGCAGCATTCTGCGACTTGATCTGTATGTTACTTTGTTCAGGATTTAAACACTATTGTAAGGACGTTACTGTCTGCAGTGGCTTTTGGATAACATTTTGCAATATTGTTTCATCACATGAACCATACAATGCGTCCAGGATAAACTTGTAACACTGGTCAAGGTGTTGACCTTCAAGACATCTGTGTCAGAGTTTTATGTTCCCTTATGAAAAGGCACACATGCACACGCTTCTCAGATAACCTGCCAATGTCCTAATCTTGTCCTTGTTAGAGGAGAGTGATAATCTTGATCGTTCACTGAATTGCCCCTCTCTATTGGTCATGTGACTTCCATGACAAAGGGTCTAGTCTTTTCCCTTCCAACTTATCTAAAAGTGCTCAAAAGGAAGAAATGAATTTCAAAAGAAAAAAAAAGAAAACAACAAAGAGATTGTAAAGATAAGACTTGGGGGATAATTAACAGTAAGAGCTTACTGTAATACTCCATCATCCATTGGCTGTTGGGGGGGTGGAGGTTTGCGAGTGAGTGTTTCTCAGATATGGGGAGCTTCATATAAAAGGAGGCGATGGTTCAGACCACCTCATGTCAACAGTCCTAAGTCATACGTCTTAAGATGAGTTTGTGTGTGTTGTGGATTTTGTTGGTGGTGGCTTGGGCGGTAATGAGTGTGGAGATGGCCAGTTTGGAGAGCAGCAGCCCTGGACCTCAGAGTATCCAGGCCTTACACTGTCCACCCTGTGAGCGCATCCACTGCTCACCCCGCAGAGCCCTGAAGCTCCAGTGTAAAGGTGGCGTCACCACAGGCGTATGTGGCTGCTGCCCCACATGTGCCAAACTAGCTGGTGAGAGCTGTGGAGGGACATGGGATTACCTGGGCAAGTGTGATGAAGGACTGGTGTGCATGTACCAGGACTCCAGTGATGGCAAACCAGAGGGAGAACGCACAGGCATCTGCAAGTCAGGTAATAGGTTTGCTCTTTGTTACTTTCATTGTGTAGAACCAGGCAGTGGACAGCTTCTGTAACCACAGAGAAAGCTGTATAATACATATGCAGTATATCTTATACTATACAGTGAGTTGCCACTTTATTAGGTACAAGTACATACACTCATTGGCCATTTTATCAGAAACACCATAGAGGTGCAATTTTCAGGTATGCAATTACTGACGATAGTGTACACTCGTTATCTACCAGCACGACATCCACTAATATACTACTACCATGTCACTGCTGTGGTGAGAATGGTCCACCAACCAAACAATACCCAGTCAGGTCCCTAAACATATTTTGCAGCAAATGATGGGCTACAGTCAGTAAACCTACATGGTGCACCAACATGGTAGGCATTTCTGATTATATAAAAAATGAGTGCATCAGGATTCATTCATATTCAATGTGAAAAGAGATGAGTTCCTTAGACCCTAAAGCTCTGTACTATTATAAAAATAATAAAAATTAATTGGCCTTCTAATCCATATAGTGATGAAATCAATAACCTTTCATATAGAATGGGGTTACAGAAGGCCCAGGGGGTCTGACTTGGCGTACCAACAAACTCCAGTAATCTGAAATTGATCTAATACACATCTATGCGGTAAGCCTCAGATAAGTTACAGTGGATATCGTCTGGCCACTCTTCTTTTACTGTAACCATATGCAGTTTTTGTTCTTCGCTCTATACTATACTTTTGAATGGGTCCTTTCAAGGCACACATGTTAACTGAAAATCATAATTAGACTTAGTAATGTTAATCTGTGATGTTCAGTGATGCAGTAATAGCAACTGATGAAGGATATTATGTGTTTGTGTGTCCATACAGTACTTGAAGTCCTCGAAAAGGACACGTGTCGTCCAGACTGCACATGGGAATTCTGTCAGGCGCATCCCAATGAAATATGCTCAGCCAGGTAACAGCATTCTAACCAACTGTATTGTATTTTTTATACTTAAAAATGTAGTCTTGACCAGAGGTTTTCTAAAACTGTTTTGTTCTATATACAAAATATTTTCCTAGAATCCACAGGTTTACAAATCAATTGCCATTTGTTTCCATAATAACCCCAAAAGGCTAATGTCAGGCTCACTGTGTTTGACATTGCAGGTCTGTGTCTCTGGAGAAGCGCGAATGCGGAGGTTTCTGTCAGCACACCACTTGTTCCAGCTGTTTGGTTCTGAGGCGTCCGCCATGTCCTCAGGCCTGCGCTCACACAGACCACGTCTGCCTCCATCGCTTTGGGAGGTGTGTGCACGGCCACCTGGAGGCACAGAAACCTGCAGTCTGCCACCAGAACCTACAGGTGAGTGAGCTTAAAACAGACCTCCAGCACTCCCTTTGCTTTTCTGACATTCACAAAATGAATTCTAATTTTGCTCATTTTGTCCAACAGAACAACAACGAGGGATACTTTGTGTGTTTGGCTCCTGCCTGCCCAGACACAGCAAACTGACACATCTGTGGAGGAACTGCTCCAAAACGATCCAAGCTAAAATGTAGCACATTTAAAGCAGCTATTTTTGATATATGAAATTTTGTAACCTTTCAATACTTGTTCTAAAAAACACTGCAGTTAAAGAGAATTGTTCTGTACAGTTGGAAGAAAAATGTTTGTGAAAGTTTTAGAATTAAATGGATTTCTACATAAATGGTTCCTAAAGTGTGATCTTTGTCATCCGTTTTGTTTGCAGACACAATGATGGTAATATGCTAATCTGTGCAAATTCACAGGGTTCAAATCATTAGGAGCGCACTAGAAAACTGTGAAATAAAAATGATGAAATGCAGATGTGTCCAGAATGATGAACACAGATGATTCAAAAATGGCTAAGAAAGCTGTAAATATCAGGAATGAAGTTATAAAAAAATTAACATCCAAAAAAATCAAAAGTAGAGATCAAAACTTGAGGCACATAACTTGACAAAAACAACAACAATAAAACAACTATATAGATAACAACAGTTCATTTATCATTTAATACCTTCTCTGATCACAGAATCCCTGAAATATTGGAAAGAAACCATCTAAAAACACCCCTTGGTGATAATCTTTAAATCCACATTTTATGTTATTATTGTGTAAATAAAACAACGAATATTGTTAATATGGAAAACGTTTGAACAGTAGTGTAACGTGATAACACGATTATCACAATCAACTTTTTACATATGAATCCTTATTTAGTAACAAGCGGATCCTTCCTTTATTGCATATAATGAAATACTCTCTGTAGCTGCTAATCAGTCCTGTTAGGAGGTTGTTTTGGCCCATTCCTTCATACAAAACTGCAACAAGGAATGAGCAAAATAGGAATGAATGGTGCTCTGTACACCTTTTCTATATGGATAAAATAATCTGTACTTGATGAATTGTCATTATTAATAGGTGATGTTCAGAACATGAGCCAGGAATTGTATTCTGATAAACAAAAGACATACAAATTCACACACAGACACACACACATCATCTAAGCCTCTTATCCTCCTGGGTGACATACAAATTTCATCATTTTGGCAAAGAAATTTTGTCAACTGATTTAATTTTGGGTATCTGACACCGATCTACTGCGCCTTTCTTTGATCTTGTAAAAGCTCCTTGTCCTCTTTGTGTATACGTAAGTACTTGGTGGGACTGATAAGGTCAGATAGGAGGCTAGAGTGGGTAGGCATATACTGATCCCTGAGAGAAAGGTGCCCACCTGGGACATTCTCTTACACCGACTGGCTTGTTACTGAATAACACCGGGTTTATGGGCCTGCAATAAGGCACGCATTCATGAGCCAGAAAAAAAAGCCTTGGCTTACAATAGCACAGTCTGTTCACTTTCCTTTTGATGTCTGGTTTATATTACAATTCATGAAGAGAGTAAATGGTTAATTCTGATAAATCTGTACTCCTCAGACACTTTTTATGGGTTTATGAGGTGTACAAGAATTGGGCTACTTCTCATGTTGGCAAACACCAGGATTTCTCACAGTGATCAGAGGCAAGTAAGTGCAATAATATATACGAATGTGAATATTTTTTGTATAATTTATAATTATTTTGAACAGAAAATAGTTTAATCAGTTATAAAAATGGGTCTATGTATAAAAACTTCTACAGTGTATTAGAAACAGTTTAAAAACCTTGCTCTGGTTCACTAAATATAAAATTTTTAGTTTTTTGTGTTTTGTGTTTCTAATAGATGTTAACAAAAGTTTTAAGTTTCCTTTAATAAAAACATCATACACAAGAATAACACTAACAATAAGGGTGCACTTAAGGTGTACATGGAGCTGCATTATCAGAGATCAAAGCTTTCTTCACAATTTTATCAGCCACTATCATCAATATATATATTGCCCTGCCGCTGTTGTTGATAACAATGGACAAAGACAACAGCTGGTGTCGTAAAAGACAACAAAATCTAAGACAGTAATATTCGTTTTGCGTATGAAGTGTTAAGAAATATCCTGAAATGCTGGAAAGATGTGTTTATTGATTCAAGTGTAAACTATTTTATAGGTCTATTCACAGAACATTAGGTTCATGTTCATGGACACAATACATACTTAAAAGATTCAAAGAGAAACAACAGTAACTGAGAATGAGAACACTGTACCAGTTATATTTATAAAATGATTTAACAGCTGAACATCATTAACTGAACATAAAATGGCAATATCCCCTACCCGGACACAGTTCTTAGATTACTTTTTTCTGTCCTTTTAATTACCAACATAATGGTATTTCACTGGATTTAAGCAATGCTGACCAACTCAGGTCCCGGTATTGATTCCATTAACAAAAAGACAGTTGCATTTACTTTTCAACAACTTCATGCGCAACAAACTGGGGATTGTTAGTACTCAATGATAGCTGGCAGCTGAATTTAGGATTTTGCTTCAGAGTCACAA